AAACAAACTTTGGAGCTCTTATCCAATTGTATTCAGAACTTATTTAAATATCAAAATATTCCCAAATATGTAAAATATTTTTTGGGAACCTGTTTAACCTTTTTTTTGGCAAATCCGTCCAACTGGGTGGAAAAGGGGCGTTTTATAAATCCAAAATTGCATTTTCTTCGTTAAGCTCGAGTTATATACTTATATTTTATTTGTTTCCTACATTTACATTTGTTTTCAATACATTTTAAATTTATTTCGGTAATTTTTAATAGAATAGCTGGAATTTAAAGAAATTGCAGGTCAAGCTGAATAATGACAGCTAATAGTAAATGTATTGTAATATATAGTGCTGCAATTATGCATCTAATTATTAGTTTAATTGTTCAATAAAAATATAATAGAAATTGTTGATATGGAAGGGGCCAAAAGCTTGAAGCTTATAAATAATAATTTCCATTTATTATAAAAGAGAGCTCTAGACATTGATCTAGTCACACCCCGTAATAAATATCGAATCTGATGTCTCTGTTAACTGTTAATAGCTGAACATAGTAAATAAGTAAATGTATCTTCTATGCGAATTGGCAAACTTTGTGTATCTTTTGGATAAATGGCAAATCACGTCGCCAACATTCAAACCATCAAGATGCAAAGGCTTGCGCTGAAATCGCAGCAACTTAATCTGTGACTGAATAAAGTGCGGGCATGCCAGCGCACATTCAATTGCAGTTGCAGTTGCAGTTGCAGTTTGGTTCCATTCAGCAAATAGGTAGCACATATACCAAATGGCTGGGGTCCATGGAGGAGCCATAATTTAAATTTTCATGCGCCTCGGCTGTCAATTGTGCGCAGCCAACAACTCAGTTTAATGGCAGCAGCCCATGAGGAGCAGCCGCACCAACAACAGCAACAAAATTTAAATACAAACAACTAGAAGCAACAACAACAACAGCAACCACAGTGGGCACCAATACAAGTAAACACTGTAGCTGGGCTTCAAATGGCGCTAAATCAAACGACGGCCACGAAATTGCCATAATGACGACACCACGATGACGATCATCATGATGATGATGATGCTCGAGATGATGATGATGATGATGATGATGATAATGATGATGATGATGATGATGATGATGATGATGGAGCTGCAGCTGAGGATGCGCTGGCTGCCATTGCAGTGGCTCGCTTCGGATCGGCAGCCAAATAATCAGCGCAAAATTATTGGAAAATCGTCTGCGCTGGCGCAAATCCTGAAGAGCACTTGTTGAAATCTCAGTGCTACTTGCAGAAGAGGGAAAAACAAAAATAAACATACGAACTGTGAAAAAAGTGAGAGAAGAGTGGTTAGATCGAATTTTAAATACCCTTGCAGACATTTTACTGATATACGAAAATATGGCGTACTCATAATATCACAGTATTTAGTTTAAATTTAAATATAAAGATATAAACCTTAAGAGTTTTGAGATTGACTTGAGTTTGCTTGTTTGGCCTTCGTTTTTTTTCTCTGTGTATGGATAAGGTTCAAAGAGAAGTATACTAGGCTCATATGTGTTAAGTTTGGTCTAGTTATCTCGAAAACTAAAAAGTTTTCCATACAAAATTTAGATTGCTATGAAATAGTAGTCTCAATCATGATAAGACAAGGCTTATATGCTGCAACAAGCTGTTGTTTTAATTGGAGCGATCTATGTATATATTTGGACAAAATCAACATAGTTGTTTCTACGGAATCTCTGTTTGCACACTTAGTTTTTATCACAAATAATAATACATATTTTTCATATTGTACGATCCGGACTATTCCGACAAATGACTAAGTTAAGCAAAGTTGTACAAAGATAGTTTTCCAACCGAGATTTTAGTTAGTCCTTATAAATGGAGGACCTCTGCCAACTTGCATGACCCATAGAAGAAAGCGGGCCTGACTATATGCGGCTTTTCATAATGACTAAGACTCTATATATAAGTGGCAACTGACTATAAATATACGTTTATATAGAAAAGAGCCACTTTGTTTGCGTTACAAGTTGCGACACAAAATCAAAGTACTCGCTAACTGGGTACTACAAAAAATGATTGCACATGTTGCAAGCCGCAAGTTGCAAGTTGGCAAATCGAAATTATCGCATAATCGTGTCGAGCGCGTTGAGGCAATTTTGGTTGGATTTGTGGCTGCGCGGCACAGAAGCGACAGCGAGTCGCATGCAGCAAAGAACGTTCCGCCGAGTGCAAATTTGTGGCAGCTACTTTGGCTGCCACTCGAGTGCCAGCCGAACTGAAAGGTTCAGCAGCTTCACATGTGCTGACGATCGGCAAACAAAAGTCACATTGGTCACGACCGAACAGCAACAGGCTGCTGGCGACGGGGGACGGCAGGGGATCGCTCTAATTGAATGTGGGCGTGGCGCCACACAAATGACTCATTCACAACACGCGGAGAGCAGCAAATCAGGCAGAGTATTCACTATGAGTGGCACCCACCCGAATACGTCTAGTCTCTAGACAGACTATTTGAATACGTAAAGAACATTTGCAGCACATGAATGCAAATAAAGTGACCATGGAGGACAGATAGTAATATGTCAATGATGCTATGTGAACTTTGCTATGCAAATGCTTTGATTACATTTTATTTATTATTTAATGGTGAAGATGGCAAACTTTAAATCTCTATCAACTGACCATCGAGGATAGGAAGGAGTATATAAATGTGGCTGTAACTTATTAACTAGATTCGATTGTATTGGAGCTAGTTGCAGAAGTGTTTGTACATAGATTATGTAAATTCTGATAGAATACAATTGAAAGGATGTAAGTGAAAGAATATACTTAAAAGAATATAAGTGAAGGATTATAATTGATATCAAATAACATTGGGCAACATAAGAGAGTATTTTAAAGATGACGAAGAACACAGCAGAAAAAAATGTTATGGAACTGTTAATAAGTATTTAAAATAAAGGGACCATTAATTATTGATATTTCAACTTTATAAAAGCATATCCGTTTCTCCAGAAATCAAATAATGCTTTGCTAAAAATGTCTCAATAATTGTCAAAAAAGAAAAACAAAACGCCTTCGAGTCAGAGAATCTTTCCTGACACACACATAACGTTTTAGAAATCGAGTCGAAAAATGTTTAAAAATTTCGTAATATTAATTTTAATGCTCTGTGCGCTCCAAACTTATTCGCAGTCTGCGGAGTTTTCCAAGGGGCTGGGCGCCAAAAAGAATGCCGCCAGCAGCGCACTTTACACGATCGAGGGCATGATACTGCCGCCCGATCCGCAGATACGCGTCGGTGCCCAGTGGCCGGCGGACATAACGCTGTCGATCAACGGGGGCGAGTACCAGGGATTCGTGCGGCTGGATGGCAGCTTTACCATAAGCGGAGTCCCGTCCGGCAGTTACATACTGTACGCGCATCATGCGGACATTTTCTTTCAGCCGGTGCGCGTGGACATTGCCCACAATGGCAGGTTCCGGGCGCGCAAGGTGAGCCACATAAAGCCATCGCACGTGGTGCGGTTGCCCTATCCGCTGGTCCTGAAGCCCGTCATGCGTCGCCGTTACTTTCGCACCCGGGAGCAGTGGAATATCATGGACTACGTGCTGAATCCCATGGTGCTGCTCATGGTGGTGCCGCTTATGCTGATGCTGCTGCTGCCGCGACTCATCAACGATCCGGAAACCAAGCGCGAAATCGAGAGTATACAATTCCCCAAGATACCCACCGGTGTGCCGGATCTCAGCGATGTGCTCACCTCGCTGCTCACCGGAAGGCGTCCACCCGAGAAGGAGAAGAAGGCCATTGGAGGCACCGCAAACAAGAGGCGCAACTAGCTAGCCCCTTGCTTTTAATGCGATTCACTTGTTAAGTTTCATGCATTATTATGGATCTGTGAATAATATCCGAGATGAATCAACATGAAGCTTTTTTCTTATTAGTTGATGAGAAGCATAAAGATGCTTCTGTCATACAGTTATCATAGTTGACTTATCATCGGGTTTTATTTTCTGTTAATGATATATTTTTTATATATTATTTATCGTTGACTAATTTAGAGAGAAAGGCTTGGAAACAACCCGTTTTAAAGAATTTTAGCTTATACTAGACCTGAAATATTATTAACATTATATATGTATATATAACATGGATATATGTCCATACTAATAATATAAATATTTGCTTGGGTAAGTTCTTGATATAAGCGTTTAGTTTATGGACCTTTTACACAATGCAGTCCTTGATAAGAAGATTTGTCTAAGTGAGCTGGTTATTCAGGCAATTGAACATGAAGGATTCTAGTTCGAGCCCCAAGATTGTTGATTGATGTAGTATGTACTCCTATTAGCAGTGGGCCACATTTGCCCGTGCTATTCAAATAGTTGGGTTCATAGTTCTTATCAATATTATATACTTATAATAATAATGCTGCGACCAGGACTAATATAATTTATTCTTTCTTTATATATATATATATGTATATATATTCTATATCGCTATTGAGGGAAGTTCACTCTGGAATGTAACACGTTCTGTTATTTCCTGATTTATCCCAAGGAACTCGCAAACTGTTATTTCTTACAGCTGTTAAGCTAAATTCCATACCTTTCGAGCATTATGAGTTTATATAGACCAATGCTTCGGGCTTTAAGCAATCGAATCTTCCCCAAAATGACGAACAGTTTTTATTTTTTCTCTTCCCAAGTAGAGTTGAAGATCTACGTGCTTCAGTTGCGATATATCCTGAGTGCCACCATCGTATTTTCCTTTCTTCTTTTATTTTTTTCATGTACCAATTGCAACCCCTGACGCTGTCTGATGTTAGGGGTTGAATTCAATGCTGTATAGTTGGTATAGAATATTCTTCAGTCGAAGAGCTATAAAGAAATTAACTCACTGAGGAATTTCTCATTGAGCTTTTTATATTGTAGCTGAAAATCAGTAACTTTTGTATTTGATGTGTCGGTAATTCCCCCTCCCAAAGTTAAAAGATCAATTTCTGTTTTATAAATTCAATAAAAGTCGGTTTATTTTGATCACAATGATTCATTTTTCCAATTTCATTCTCTTTGCCCAGGCGTTTGGCAGCCCTGAAAAGGGCCTTTTTCTTATTGTTTTCTTTTTCTTTCTTTTTTTGGTATTTTTTGTTTTTTCATTTCTAAATTTCAATTGATTTCTGGGCAATGAGCCCAAGGTTAAAGAAAAACAACGCCCGGTTCAGCTGACAGATGCCAAAGTCTTTCAAGGATGTCACGAGGCGCAGAGGAAACGATCCTGAAAATATAGAAAACAAATAGAAATTGTTAGAATTGGAGAAAAGGCGGCAACAGTTGAAGTTTAAATAGAGCCTTTGGCTATTTGGGATGTGAATAATTACCTTGAAAAAGTCGGCCCAGTTGCGTGGCTGACGTGTGGGCGTGGCGCGTGCCAGTGGGCGGCGGAATTTGTGTTTCCCGGCAGACAGAAACGGCTGCCCAACTGCCGCGACGCGCTGCGTTTTGTCGAAATGTCCTTTCGATCGATCTGACATCATATATAAAGTGTATATTATATATGGTCTGGTTCGTACTGAATGAAGAGTCGCTTGACTTTGCCCCCCGCCACGCCACGCCCCACAGGGGAGGGGGGAGTGGCGCTCGCGCGCGCCAAGCTTGGCAAACAAAAAGGTTGATAAAAATCTTTTGTTCGAAACAACGAAAAATATTCGGTGGCAATTCTTGGCGTGCCCACTTTTTAGGCGGTCTTCTCTTTCTTCACGCAGAACTGACGCAGTGCAGCCAGCGAATTGCTGGCGCTCAGATTCTCCGGCACCGCGGAGTCACCAGCTCCCGCTGCCGCCGCCGCTGCCGAGGCAGCCGCTGCCAGTTTGGCGCGCGTATTTGCAGCTCCGCTGCTGCCGCCGCCGCCGGCGCCGCTGCTGCCGAGAGAGTCGAACATGGAGCTGAGCGCGTTGAGGGAATCACTTGGATATTTCTTGTTGTTGCCATCGCTGCCGTCGTACGACTTGTGGCTGGATGCTGGCGATTTGGGCGTGGCCGAGCGCTGGCTGTCCGCCGGGCTGCGCGGCGGCAGCGGCAGGCGCGACGCCTGCGGACTGGCAGCGGCTGACGAGGATTTGGGTGAGCTGCCATTGTTATTGTTGTTGTTGTTGTTGCTGCTGCTGTTGTTGTTGTTGTTGTTGTAGCTGCCATTTAGCAGCGGCGTGTCGCTCTCCGTTTTGGGCGAAGCAGCAGCAGCCAAATCCTGCGGCTCATCGCCCAGCTCAGACTTGATCTCCATTTTGAGGCTCGACTCCGGCTCCTGTTTAATGGGCAACTCCTGCACGGACGCCGCCGCCGGCTGCTGTTGCTGCTGCTGCAGCTGCTTCTCGGGCGTGGGCGCCTCGAGGCGTGGCCTTGCCTCGGCGCTGCACTCGCTGCCGCTGCGCTCGCTGCTCGTGTAGCGATAATGCTGATAGTAGGGATCGCTGGTGTCGATTAGCGGTTTGTTGTAGTCGACGGTCTCATCGATGCCCAGACGCTTCAGTATGCTGCTGGCAACCGGCGAGGTGTTCTTCGTGGACGAGTTCGAGGGGCTGCTGGCCGGCAGGCTGGCGTGCCGCGGCGGCGTGTCGAAGCTGGTGGTGAACATCTGCTCGATGGCGCTCAGCACCGACGATGAGCCGGCCGCAGCTGCCTTGCCCGTGCCGCTGGCGCCGTTCTTCTGCTCCAGCTCGGGCGACTTGTTCTTGGCCAGCAGCTGGGCCGCTTTGGCTATCTCCTCCGGCGACTTGACGCCCGTTATGTACTGGCGCATGCGTTCGGCGAAGAGCGCGGCCTCCGATTTCTCTGGCTTGCTGCCGCTGTTCTTCTCCAGCGGTGGCTGCTCCTCGTTTGGATTGGCCTTCAGCTCGAGCAACTTGCGCACGGGCAGCGATTTCTCGCGCTTCTTGGGCGCCGGCCGTTTGCGTGCGCCGGCGGACTGCAGCAGCGGCTCCGCGTAGTGATTGTTCTTGGCCATATGATTGCTGAGGTCGCCCAAGGAGCTGAAGGCCTTGTCGCACACCTTGCACGTGAGCACGGCGGAGAGCGTGCGCGACTCCTCGGAGCTGAGGCTGTTCTGGCCCCCATCCTTGCTGTGATCCGCGTTCGCGTTGCCCGACTTAATCGAGATGCTCTGCTCCTGCGACAGGATGTTCGTATAGTGTTGCGTCTCCTGCATGTGCTTGGTCATATCGCCCAGCGACCGGAAGCTCTCTCCGCAGCGCATGCACTTGAGTATCTGCATCGCCTGCTCCACGCCCTTGCCCAGCCAGACGTTCTGGCCGCGCACAAGCTTGCGCGGCAGCGGCGTGGGCGGATCGCCGCGATACTGGAACGCGTTCTTCACGTTCGCCGAGGGCGCCTGATTGCCAGACTGTTTGCGCTGCTGCTGATGGTGGTGGTGCTGCTGCTGCTGCTGCTGCTGTTGGTGGTGTTGATGCTGGTGGTGGCTGCCGCCGCCCGGCGAAGCACCCGAATTGGAGTGCGAGTGGTGGTGCGGCTGATTGCTGGGCAGATTGCCAAAGGGCGGCACGTTGACGCCGCAGTGCTTGCTGTCCTTCATGTGCGTGGTGAGCGCCTCGAGCGTGGGGAAGCTCTGCTTGCACCACACGCACCTGAACACCGAGCTGGCCACGCCCTTGTTCTGCCAGTGCGATTGCCAGATGTTGTGGCGCGCCTTGGTCACCCCGCCGCCAGCGGCGCCGCCCTCCGCCGACGCATTATTTGACGTGGAGTTGCCGCTGGAGTTGCCGGCGCCCGTTTGATTGGCGGGACTTTTGGGCGGCGGTGCAGCGGCTGCGTTGGGTGTTGTCGCTTTATTCTGTGACTTTTCCTTGTGCATCGACGAGGAGCCACCGCCGCCGCCGCCGCCACCCTTGACAATGTCCGACATCTTCTCGAGCGGATCCACTACCAGATCATTCTTGCCATTCCAGTCGGGAAACTGGCCGGCGCGAAATATATTGGCAGCAGCGACTGCAGCCAAATAGGGATTAACACCGGGCATGAGGGGCGCTGAGGCTGCAGCCGGTGAGGAATTCGCCGGCGGACTGTCCGATTTGAACATTTTCTTCACCTGAATCTGGCCAATGGGGCTCTGCGTGTCGTGGGTGCGCTTGCGCGTGCCCACCGAGAGATCAAGCGGATTGTTGCCGCCATCGTCGAATTCCTCCTCCTCCTCGGAGGCCACCGGCTCTGCGGACTCGGCGCGCGCATATAGATTGGTGCGAAAGTCCAGCGCCTCCGAGTTGCTGCTGGAGGCGGTGGGCGAGGCTTGTGGCGGCAGCTTAAACGGCGCAGCCGCCTCGCTGGGCAGCGGCAGCGGCAGGCGTGGCCCCGCAGCAGCAGCTGCCGCCAGCGGGAAGCCATACTGCTGTGCGGCGGCGGCCACCATGTGCAGGTAGGCCTCCATGGAGGACGGCTGGGCGGGCAGCGATTGCGGCACCGCCGGGAATGTTGAATGCATTGTGGTCGGCACAACGGGCATCACGCCACCAGACATATGCGTCGCGTCCCGCTGGCCACCATTGTCCGAGGAATTGGAATCGTGCGAGGGGCAGCGCTCGCTGGAATTCGCCGATTCCGTGGAACGTGGACGTGCTGTGGGCAGGGCGCTGCAAGGACAAGAGGGTAAACGGGGCGAAATTAGTTCGAGCTCTAAAATTAAATTGAATCTCAGTTGGGAACAGACCTAGGATTCCCAATATGTTTCTATGCGAAACCTAAAAATACTAAAGCTTTGAAAATTGGGACCAACAACTATATTTAGTTGAACTAAATAATTATATAATTTTAATCGTATAGAAACTCTTCAGTTGATGATTTGGTAACTTAAAACTTTTAAGGTGACTTCTCAACTTGAATTCGGAAGGAATTCTACTCGTAAGAACTATTTTCTGTGACGTATATAAAATATTTGATATAATAGATAAATAGAATATACCAAGACAGCGTTTGCCCCAGCTATTGAAAGGCTTTAATTTCGTAGACTTTTCTTAAAATTATAATTTCTGAAGTGAAATTAAAGATAATGTATTTAAAATTCATTATTTACATTATATTTAAAGTAGCGAAAACACGTATTCTTATATTTAGATACTTTTATCATTTTATGACTTCTAATTATAAAATTAATTGCACCATTCAAAGTGGGATAAAGAGAATTGTTAAGAGATTTTAACTTAGATCTTGAGAAAAGCCTAATCTTTAACAGATTAATTCATTAACAACTCGCTCTCCTGCAGCATTAGCTGAAGCCCGTGAAAAATATGTGCAACAAGCAAAACCGTTGGGAATATTTTCTTTGTAAATTTAATTCTAATTTTAGTTCCATGATTAACCTATTTATAATTATTCATGCACCTGTTGCTGTCTAAAGATCAAGTTAAGCGTGAGCGTGAATCAATTTTGATCGTGAAAGTAATAATATTTCCGCTCTTTGCGATTAAGTTAATCTGCCCGCTTGCTTTATCGCCCGTAATAAACGATTAATTAATCACATTCTCAATTCTTTTGTGCCACGCCAATAGCAATAAATTGTGCTAATTATACAAAATACTAAAATTAGGCAGTGATCAGTGATCACTGATAAGTGATCACTGATTAGTGATCATGTGATCAAAATGTTAGTCACTAATCAAGTTCGTCGCTTTTATGGGGGGACTGCCGCAATATGGAAGCACTTAAATGATTGGTCGAAGAATAGCAAGAACTTTCCCTCCCAAATGTTACATAATATCTTTTCATATCAAACTGGGTAATAGAAAGAGATAACATTAATCAACGAGAAATATGCTTTCGAATTTGAATGGGCCAAAATGTTGTTAGACAAACGATTCCTCTCTTTCTTTCAATACAAAGCAAATAAAACATAGATCATTAGTGAAAGCTTTCAATATGAGCATCGACTTTCGAGCGAGTCGAGTGATCTTTATTGCTCCAAATCTATATGCCCATTATATAAATATATATATATATACATATATATGTGTGTGTTTATATATTTCTGGCAAATCATGGAAGGGGGCAGGCGCAACAATAAAAATCAAGTGGCACAACAATGGCAACAATATGAAACATATGTCAACATTTCATTTGTTATTCAAATCCAACTGCGGCGGCCCATAAACCAAAATGAAACTGTGGCCAGCTGTTTCAAATGCCGCACCCCCTTACCCCCCCCCCCTCTATCCCTCCCTCCAGAGTAGTTCGCTTGGCTGGCAAGTTTTGGTCGTCAAAATCGTTAAAATCGGTTATATTTATTTGGAACAATGGCATTTAATTCGAGACAGCAAAGCGTGAATTATGGGCGAAGCTCATCATCGTCGTGATTATCAACAGATCTCTCGTCATCGAAGATCTGTTTTTTTTTTCTTTTAATAGCTGGCAACGCTGCGCAGGAGGCGGCTCATAAAATTGACGACAAAGCGACGCACAAAAGCCATTCCACATATTTTGCATAAATTAAACACCCTCCCCCCTCCCCTTCCCTGCCCCTGTCCCCTTCTGAATGTGCATAAATAACTAACAAATTTTTATTGGTCTGCATCTACTTATAAATCTGCAAGGCACATGCTTAAATATTTTATATACATATATAATTTTTTTTTTTTTTGCTTTTTCATTAATAATTTTCGTAGTTTTGATTTCCTCAATTTGGCGCTAGTTTGCACTGATTTTCAGCCAAAAACAATTTGTTTGCGCTTTGCCCATTTACATATATTGCAAAAACAAAACGGTTGTAAAACTTTTAGCTCGTTTTTATTAACATTTGTTTTGCGTGGGCGTGGCTCTGGCGCCCAGAGCTGGGCAATTTTGATGAGTCGCTGAGTTGATGAACTGCCGGAAATGGCAATGAATTATGACCCGATACGCAACGGAGATTCGTTAGAATTATCGATTGGCTTTTTAATAAGGAAATAAGACAATGGGTGAGTCACATTCCTTAATTGCTGCAGCGGTCTGGCAACGCCAATCACACTCTCTTGCAGCAAGTTGGAAGCTTTGTTTTCAGTTGTTGCTTCTCATTTAAAATGCATTAGTTATTAATTAATCGACTACAAATCGATTTAGTTTAACTAACAAATTGTTCTCTCAACTTTGGCTGTTTGCAATTCGGAGTAGGTTTTTTTTTTTGGCTAACCTGTAGCTAAACTAGTTGGCAGCACGCGCCAAACCTAATGCTTAAGTAAACAGGATTTAAGTAGCTGTTAAATTAAACTAATTATAATTGCTTGGGCAAAGCTTGGCTAATTAAAGAAAATACGTAAACGTCAAGCTTAGCTCTTCATTTCGAACGTGTTTAGTTGGGATTAAGGAGGATTAAAAATATGTAAAATTTAATTATTTACTAATGAAGCTTTCGTTGCTTTGAGACTTAATCTATAATATTTTATATATATTTATATTATTATTATATATAAAAAAAGAGAAATATATGGAAGCAAGTAATTATTAGAAGCTCAGTTAACTTAGATTTTTGAAGCACGATAAATTAGATTTATAAAAATTGGAAAGGGTTAAAATGTATTTATACTGAAAAGATGCATAACGACTATAAATATAAAATAAATATATATAATAAATAATATTAAATAATAAGAACAGAAAAAGTAACAAAACTAATTATAAATAATAATACAAAAATATTAATAAAAACAACAATAAAAATATGAATAAAAATACAAATGAAAATATTAATAAAACTTATTTTAAAAAATAATAATATTAAAACTAATATAAAATAATAAAAGAAAAAAAATTTGAATCAAACTAATATTTAATAGTAATAGTAAAAAGTAATAGTAATCATAAATTATATTAAAACTAATACAAAATATTTAAATGTACATTTATTATTTTAATTCTCTTTTAGGTTAAATTAATTTTAGCTCTTCCTAATTTTTGCGTTAATATTAAACAAATTAACATTAATAAAACTAATATCAATAGTTTTTAGAGTAAATTAAGTTCAACTCTTTCTAATTTCTATATGTATCTTTTCTTGCTTCTCATTGTCTTAAAGCAACACCTAGCACACCGATCGCTCAGCATTTGTTATGCCAGCCTTAAGTTGTCCAAGACAATAAACATTTTATCAAAGCTATCTATTGTGGCAAAAGACAATAGATCCAAAAGCTGTGCCAGCTTCTAAGTGCAGCAATATTGATGGGCTTTCGCCAATGTCAAACGCCAAAAGGCCGACAGATATATCGCATATATGTACATATATATCATTATAATTATGTTGTCTTTTAAATGGGCAGTTTTTAACGAAACTGTGATTCATTGACATTCCTTTACATAATGTGAAATTGTGCAATGTACATGCTGTGCCATAAGGTTGCACACCTTTCTCTCAGATACTTAATACACATACCTGCGCTTTAGCTAACTGCTAATTGGATTTACAGATTGCAGCCTGTGATTAAGACTCGAAAAAAAAGATATGGAGAAATACCTCAACTAAAATAACAACAACAACAACAACAACAGCGACTAGTTTTCCCCGTTGCAGCAGCTATCATAATATGCAATCTTGTTATTTGATGAAGCTTAAATCAAAATGATTTATACGCAGCGGCTAAAATGCAGTTAATTACAAGCGGGAATTGTCTCATTAATAATCGCGCACACACACACACTCACACACACACACAGACATCGAGTCGACAGATTGACGAGTTGATCTGGGCAATTATATGGCCATAGCTGACTAGCAGCTAACTTGTAGATACTTTTGTACTTGCCAGATACTTTTGCAACGCATGACTAATACGCGCCATCAAAACTAAATGTTACTAAATAGCACACACCCTACCCCCCGCACCCTCGCACCCCCGCAACCCCAACCTGGCTGCAAATTGTGCGCATAAATCTTTCAGTAATAGGCGCGCACACACACACGCAGCTAAGGCTACACTCACAGACACAGGCACAGATACAGATACACCCACATGTAGAGCATATGAAATTTTGATTTTGGACTATTTGGCTGAAAGAATCGCATTCATGATTTATTCATTTCCATACGTCAGCGCCTTGGAAAATGCCTTCATGAAAACGCGCCAACAAATCGCGCTGCAGTTTCCCATTTCCAAAAATCAAAAAGAAAAGAAAAAAGAGGCGCCCCTCCCCACCCCAACCTGAACTGGCAGCTCTAGAAAACTCGTTTCGCGTTACGATTTACATACAAATGTATCTGAAACGAGTTTAATCACAAAGCCTACGGCAAACATTTAAGCAGCGATAATTATGAACGATTTGGCTAAAACAATCGTATTTAGTTAGTTGAACTAAATGTATTTACCGCTAGTTATCGTTAAGTATTCGCTTTATTCTTTTCTTATTATAAATCAATTTTCCTTTATTCTTATTATTATTTCTCTTCGCTTTAGTCAGCGTGTGGATTGGGTGGGTGTTGCTTGATAAATGGCCTTAATATTGGTGCGGGCTTTTAATTTATAACGACAGGTGCGCGACGAAGTCGACGCCGACTGCGACTGCGACGTCGATGTCGATGTCGATGTTGACCATCAAATGATTCGCATATTCGTCAGAATTATTTTCAAATCGAATTCTAAAGTAATTATTTTATGGATCATGCGGGGATTCGATCAGGCAAGCGATAAGACTGTCGACTGTCATGTGATTGCGATCTTATTAACCAGTTTGAGTAATAGCTAATGAATGCACAAATATAAATATAGACAATGCGTTTCGTTGTCGAAACCAGTTCGAAATCGATCAAAGTATATATAATTTTTGGCAGTAAACAGTTTCACATTTCAATCTAATATTCAAAAAGATACAAAATCAAGCTATAATTAGGCAAACAATTTAAATGCAATGCAACAAAAATTCAATTTACATTTAAAACAAAAAAAAAAAGATATCAATTTGTGAATTTTAACAAAATAATTAAAAGTTAAAAATATTGGGCTTTTAAAAAGATGGCACAATAAAAACAAGGCAATGGAACGCAGTTAACACGGTTAAGTTATGTTGAAAAGTAAAAGATACAAGTAAGCTTTATAGAAATCATATTTGGAAGATACTTTCAACTTTTTTTTTAAAGATCTATAAGATCTATAGGTATTACAATTATTTTTTATATATATTTAAGTATTTCTCGCAAGTAGTCGACATGGAAATCGTTTTCCAAAAATATTGACAAAATGTTTTAGAATTTTTACCTTGCCTTTGATTTTAATATGGCTCATTTTAATAATAATAGAAACAAAATAAGAAAGATAACTAAAAATGTCTTTTTTATCTATATTGTCTATTATATATTGTGTTCATCGCTAAATTCTTTTATATATAAATTTATTGTTTCCATCGCTTAACTTTAACTAATATGTTTACCAAATTGAATACTAATAGCTAATAAACTAACCATAACTAACAATGTCAATTGCCGCAAATCAAGATAAGTAGCAATAAATACACGAAAAAATTCGTATAAAGAGCACGTATCTGCGATTATAGATGGGAAGTGCGAAATTAAAACCGAATTATTTATGATTTAAATGTACTTGAAAGTTCTGCTTGAATGTGTAAAGCATTTATTTGCATTCCACTTGATTTACAAGACAACAAATTTATAATTAATAGACAGTTGTATATTTCGTAATTCACTTAGTTAACTTACGGCTAATTTATAAATCATTATAATAGATAACATCATTTACCATATGATACTTATTATTATCTTGATTCTTTGTAGTTTTCATACAATTTGGATAATGTATGTATATATCTATTTGATCTATTCGATCGGTAGTTGCTATTGATTATTAAACAACAGAAAACCTTTGTATATATCATATTTAAAAGAATCTTTTCTTATATCAAATGATTTAGAAATCATATTTTAAAAGTTTAGATAAAGATACTAGATATAGTTTATATTTCTATCAGTTTTCATCTATTTCTATCAATTTTCATCTACTCAAGAGTCCAAGTTTTTTATTTATGCTTACTTGGAAATATTTATTAATGTTTTTTTACGGCATAAATAAACGGCAATTGGAATTATAAATAAATAAAAATCAAATTACGGCATTTTCCCAAACAGATGAATTCTCCAGTTCATTTTTTTCCCCAAAATAAAACTAATTCATAATTGCTTTACTATGTTTAAGTGTGACCAAAACAAATGCTTAAACTTATGTCCACACTATATTATTTATTAATAATATTAACTTACCCGGCGTTAAGCGCCTGTCTGTAGATCTCGAGCATCAGAGCCTCGTGCAACATTTTCAGATTTTGCTGAATTTTGACGGATTGTTTTTGCTTCTTTTTGGTTTTGTTTATTCTTCAATAGGTAAACTGCGGGGCGGGTTTTGCGGGGGGGTTCGGTAGCTGCAAACAAATTGCGTTTGCTGTTGCTAACACTTTTTAAATATAGCTTAAATTTAATTTGACACAATATGCATTTGCAATATTAGTTAATTAACTAATCAATATTTGTTTGTTTGTTTTTTTGTATTTTTCGTATTTTTTGTATTTTTGCACTTGGTACTTTTTAGCGTTGAGCTACGTATAACTTGTGTGTTAAATAGTGTAATTTATATCTTTAAATATGTATATTAATTTAATTTATATTTTTGTTGTATTTTCATATGGCAGACAGAAAATTTATGTTAAATATTTTGTGTTTTTGTTTTTGTTATTTAATTTAATAATTGCATTTGAATCGTATACTTCGTTTGAAATTTGTTGATTTGTTTTTTGTTTTTTTGCTTTAACTTTTTTTAATTTATATATTTTCTTTTAGTTTTTGGTGAGCAAAATATTGTTAAATATAAATATTATTTTGTATTTATGTTTTTTTTTGTGTAGTGTTTATTTTAATAAATATATTTTATTTGTTGTTTGTTGTTGTTTTACGTATACTTTTGTTGAACCATTTGTTGTTGTAGTTGAAGTATTTGTTTTACTTGTTGTTGTTGTATTCAGTCTTAATTAAACATTTGACGCGCATTTCATTGTTAATTCTTTTGTTGTTGTGAATTTTGACTAGATATGATGCATGTGTTTTTGTTGTTGCAACTAATTTGAAAATAAATTAATTTGGTTTTAATGATGCATTTCATTTGATTTAATTCATTTAATTTTTTATCACACTTTTATAAATGGCGTTCAGATTAAAATAATTGAATTTATTGTTGTTGTTTTTTTTTTTTGTTGTATTCAAAACACGCGTCGCAGTCGCACACAATTCGCTCGCTTTTGGTTTTCAATGTGTGTGTGTGTTATGTTGTGTATGTGTGCGTGTGTTTTGGTTTCTTTTTGCTTGTCGTGTTTTGTGCGGTTCATCCGGATTCCGTCGTTACTCGTTTGAGAGTCGAACAGCGAATGAATGTGTCGGCGTTGCCGTGTCGTCACTGGCTGCGCTGCTGCTGCTGCTGTTGCTGCTGCCTCTTCTCAGTCGCTTCTTCTTCGCTGCCTCTGCTGCTGCTGCTGCGTCGGCTGTCAAACTGATTCAGTCAAGAATCAGACACAAACAACAACAATGCGTTCGCGTTCTGCTGCTTTGCCTGTTCGCTGCTGATTGATACCAAAAAAATGAAGTTCAAAGCGCGGTGGCAGCGACGCGCACGTTTCGTTTCGTTTCGTTTTGTCTGCTTTTCTGGAGCTGGGCGCCTGGAAGCTGCGTTGGCGGCGCTCTTGTTGTTGTTCTTCTAGTTGTTGTTGTTGTTGTTGTCGTTGTTGCTGCTGCCTTTTTGACGAGAGTTGGACTTGAAACACGACGCTGACAACGACGCTGACGACGGCGACGTTCGTTAACACGAAGCGCGCGTTTGGCGACGGCAATTTCTGATTCGATTGCGTTAAGCGACGGCGCAGCGCAATGCGCAGTCCGTTATTGTTGTTGTTGTACGAGTATTTGGCGCCCCCACCAAAAAGGCGACGTCGACAGCGCAGCGTGTTGATTACTTTGCTGCTTTGCTTTTTGTGTTTTTTTTTTTTGGTTTGGTTTTTCTCCACCCCCACTAGCAGCTGGCTGTCACAAATGCTGTGATTAAATGTGCTGCTGTCTCGCTCGCGCACGCTGACCGCGACGCTGGCGTTTGTGCTAATTAATTACAACGGCTGCGACGGCGACGGTGACGGCGACAGCGCGAATCTGTCCACGCGCTTTTTGCTTTACCCTTTTACGTTTTACGTGCGTGTTGTTCTTGGCGCGCCACAGAGCTTTTCGAACATGATCGTTCGCTGTAACGGTCGATTGTTGACTGAAATTGTGGCGCGCGGCCGGCGCGACGAGAGCACACCGTCCGCGAGAGAGGGCGACGCCAGTGCGCATGGCCGTTGGGCACGTTTCCCCTGCACACCAATTGGAACTGCAATAAATCTTGTTTATGTTTTTGCGGCGTGTATACGAAATGGGATTGGAACATTCATGCCAGCGCAGGGGAAATGATTGCGCTCGCACACCCTCTCTCACTCTGGTTGTTGCTCTCTCGTTGGCTCTCTCTCAAATTAGCTGCAGCGTTTCGTCAGCGCGTCACCCTTTTTGGTAGGTCGGCGGCTTCAGCACATTCCAATTCCATCACTCCGCCACAATTAAGATTTATGACAGTTCAAAACAAATTTTCTCACTCGCATGCGCTGGCTCACTCACTCACGCTGCTGTCTATGAGTGTAACTGTGTGTGTGCGTGTGTGTGTGTGTGTGTTAGTTGCTCTGAAGGTGGCTCGTTCTAATTTGTTGCTGTTGTTGTTTTTGGTGCTGCTGCTGCTGATGTCGTCTGCGCCGCTGCTGCAGCTGTCGCGCTTTCGACATTTTGTCTCTCTGTCTGGCATTTTTTGCAACGTGCGGGTGCTCTGTCACATGTATACATGTACCTACACATCTATATGCGTATGTACGTATGTGTGCACACACAATGACATTGTAAAACAGTTAAATATGTACAATATGTAAATAGCAGCAGGCTTTCAACTCTATTCTTGTTGCTTTCCGCACTTTTCGTTCCCATCTGCTGTTCGTCAATTTGATGCCCGGGCTGAAAACATTGTACTTACATACATATGTATATAACATCGTAATGCATGTACATACATATGTAAAAAAAACACACACTTTGCTCTATTTGTAATTTTGTAGTTTAAAAGTTCACTTTTTTCCATTTTAACATTTTCTCTTAATTAACATGAGGTTTATCTGTCATTCAATTTTTATTCTATGCCGATTTCAAGAACAGCCGCTTTTACGATTTGAATTCACGTTGTGCTACTTAAGCGAAAACGAGGGAATTTCATGTTATCCTCGCGTATAATAAAGTGTTAATAATAATAAAACATATCATTTGCTTGTCAAATTCTCATTGATTTGACTGTTAAATTATACGCACACACTTTTACTTAAATGCTTGTATGTGTGCAACTACTTACATATGTACATACATATATATGTATCTTTTTAATATAATCTTATTCTTATACAAAATTTTGTTAATCGGGTCCAGTAACAAAAAATTTTTTATTTACATTGAAATAACTTACACTATATTCATAGCAAGAGGAACATATAAACTTATTTTACTTACTTTCATATATAAAAAAATTGTAGCTTTTCATTGAAAATTGTACATTTATTTATTTTTCCATCGAACAAAGCATTCAATTTTTTCAATTCATTCAAGAAAAGGCTTAGGAGCTTTATTTTTTCATGTGTGAATTGACAAATTTATAATTATCATATACAATTTTAAAATTTAAGAAATTCTTTAGATGAATTTTATTATAGTTTTCAAAATCCCTTAAATATGCATGAAAGAGGATTTTAATTAGAGAATCATTTAAATTATTGAAAGTTTCAATTTCATAATTATATATGCATATATGCACATATGTATGTATATTTTGTATGTATGCATAGTGTGAATATTGTGTATATATACGTATATTTTGTATGCAGTTATATCTATATTCCAATTGTTCTTTCCGTTTCGTCTTATTGTCTTCCGAGCGATAAGTGGTAGTTTCTTCTCCCAAATCTCCTTATTGTAGAATTTTGTCGCCGAATATAAAAGATAAAAGATAGAATTTGACGAGTCGGCAATAGGTTCAGTAATAGCAGAATTCTAGTTGAGTTCTAGATCCAATGGATGGCTGAGTAGATGGAAACTAGATTTGTTTCGTATGCAGATTTTGTTTTGATCTCGCGGCGCGCACACATTCCACACTGAACGCCGAATCGGAATAGGTGGATCCAGCATCGAATTCCAAATAATAATTTATCAAACGAATTTTTACGATCGAGCACATAAAAAAATTAATGTGCGGCAAAAAGAAGCGAAGAATATATAAAAAAAAAAAAACAAGAGGCAGGAAAGTGAGGCTAGCTTAGCAGAGGAAAAAATATTAAATAAAAAAAAAAATGCCCAAATCAAATTATAGAATCGTAAAAGTATTTATTACCCCAGCGCCGAGTAGCATCTGGACAGAGGGACGGTCGTCAATCGGCCTGGCGACAGCCGGCCAAGAATTATGCGGCGACTGGAGCAATGGCTGTCTCCAGCCAAGGACCGGCAGGAGCAGCAGGAGGAGGTGGAGGAGGAGGAGGAGGAGGAGGAGTTGGAGCCAGCGCTTCCAAGTGATTTGATTATCATCGGTTAATTGGTGACTCGTAAAAGTTTTTACGAGCCACAGCCGTGCCGGGCATTAAATGGGCCCGATTGGAGCAACAAGTGCAGCAACAGGATGGCGGAGCCGGAGCTGGAGCTGGAGCTGGAGCTGCAGGAGCGGAGCTCAGCCATCATTGGCCATCAATAAAAGCGTCCACCATTTTCACTCAACTGTCGTCGCCGGCCTCAGGTTTTATGGGCGGCATTCGTCAACAATTAGCGGCTTAAAACTCAGATAATGTGGACTTAATGCAACCGACATTTGCATGGGGGAATTGCTTTCCTGAACTCCGAACGGGCAATAACCAGGCACAGACACTGGCCCAGGCACAGGACAGCCAGCAGCTGGTACAGTGAAACATGCCACATAATCCACCAAGAAATAATTAAAGAAAGCAAATAAAGTATTTAGCATGTTTTACGAGGCAGCCAATTTAGACAGAGCTGCACTTGCAAACATCGATAAAAATCGATAGCTGACGCGATAACAGTAGACAATAAGGCTTAGTTTATCGAACCTAATGAAGAAATCGTAGGGAAAAATAGCGCTCACTTCACTTTTAATACATTGTTTATTAATTTTACATATATCATAATTCCTACTAATATTATCTGTAACATTCGAGGAATGTTATACAACAAAGTCCTAAAGAATAGTAGAAAATTTTCTTCTAATTAAATGGAAGTTCCTGTTAAAAGCAATTTTTTTAACACATTCCATCTAAGGGTTCCATTTTCAAAAGCTTAACTTTCTATTTAGTTAAGCTTTTACATTCTGTCAATCTGATGGAATCTAAGAATGAAAGATTTTATAAGCTCATTTATAAAAGCTTTTTTTAGCCAACATTTAGTTGAGAATTTAAAA